GATCTGAGATAGAGCTGAGGCAGTAATGCTAACTCTGGGGAGTGGCTTCAAATTCAGAGGAAGCATCACTCGCTAGCCAGCAGCTCACCTCCTACTGTGTGACCCTGTTTTCAACAGGCCACGGACCAGTACCCATCTATGGCCCAAGGGTTGAAGACTCCTGTTATAGATGCTTGACCTTGCCTCCTTTAATACCAAAGGACCACGGCTTCAGCCTTTCCCAGATGAAGCCTTTCACTTTAAATTCCTCCCAATTCCAGTCAAAATTTTTTGATGGTCATTAAAATTACATAAGTGATTTCATGAAATTTTAATGTCCTCTACCAACAAATTCTGCAGGAGAAATTCCCGCAGGCATCCCCATTGATCATTCTAAGTAGATACAACAAAGCATTTCAAGACACGAGTTTTAATCAGAAAGAAAATGAAATGAATATTTCATTTATGATGGGTCATCTGGTGAGAAATTTTTTTCTAATTTTTTCATTTAAAAATCAAACAACTAAATCTAACCTCTTGTAAAGGCATTGACCAAGAAGATAGCAACTTTTTGGGTTTATCAAATACTCTTTCCACCAAGGTTTCTTGTAACAACAAGACAGAATTTACAGGTCAATAACCTCTAAGACAGTTTTGCCAACTCAGTGAGTGAATTTGGTCCCACACTTTGTGAAGATGGATGTCCTTGTAATGTTTTACTTGTCCCTAGATCTCGCACTGATGCTGTCCTAATATCCTCACAACTCAGTACCTGTGAATAAAGGCTTGTGTCCACAACTTGAGAAACTCTCAGAAGATTCCAACAGATGCCAGAAGCAGTACAGAGCCTGGATCCAGGTGAATTCAAGCCAAAATGTTAATAAGTAATAATGACTTTACGTGTTGTCGTTGTATAATAAAGAATCTAGCTGGCCTTCATCACTGGTTCCTGGGAGGTAATTTCAAAATCTTTGGAATTTCCAAGTGCTAGAAGTATCTTTGCTACGGATGGTGGACTTATTGCTGGCTTTATGCAAAGACAACGACTCAGGATAGATGCTGGCCCAGCCAGAAAGACCAACCAGGTGATTAGAGGGTTGGGACTTTGAACAAAATATTATCAGCTCAATCTACAGTGAAGGTGAGGAGATGGCGATTGAATTCAATTACATAGCCAATGATTTAGTCAATCATGCCTACCTAAAGAAACCCAATAAAAATTCTGGAGGCTTGGATGAGCTTCCTGGTTGGTGATACACATCAATTCACCAAGAGGGTAATGCATCCTGAAGGCCCAGAAGTTTCATGTTTGGGACCCTCCCAGACATTTCCCTATGTGTCTCTTCATTTGGCTGCTCAAAACTGACAGGATAGTGAGAACCCACATGTTTGTAGCCAGTTGATCAGAAGGGAAAGTGGCCTGGGACCCCAGAGCATATGGTTGGTGTCTGAAGTAAGAGCGATCTTGCAAAGGACTTGACCCTTAACTTGTAGTGTATGCACTAATTATGTCAGCATTGCGTCGCAGCTATGCCTCCAACTAACTTATTCTCATTCTCATGGTATTGGGGCTATGAAGAGGCACAATTTCCTAACCCAAATGGTGACTAATTATGTGGGGATGTCGGGGATGATACCATAAAAAGTCCAAAGGGTAGATAATTGAGATTTAGGGGTGGGGTAGGAAGAATTCTGAGATGCCCTCCAAGATTCTTGTTCCCTGGTATCCATACTCAGTATAATCCTTTTCCCTTGAGCTTGAAGCTGCCCTGTGAGTATGAGGGATGCCATACCTGTGATTAGGTTTTGGTATATAACATCACAATTTCAGCCTTGTGAGACACTGAGCAGTGAACCCAGCCAAGCCAAACCCAAAACTCTAACCTATGGACACCATTAGATGATAGATGGGTGTTGTTTCAGGCTACTAAGTTTGTAGTAGCTTGTTATGCAGCAATAGAAAACTAATATGCAGGAAAATTGGTACTAGTTGAAGAAATAGGAGGACACAAAGACAAACTTTGCCAACGTTAAAGGCAATCCAGTTGCAAATTTTTTCTTGCCAAAGGCAGAAGGGAAGATTTAAGAGCAAGTAATTAGAATGAGGGAGAAAAGAGCAATCAGATTCTAAGATGAGAACCTAAAGGAATACCTGGGCTGGAGAGCAGATGTTTAGCCTCAAAAGAAGAAGCTTAATATTTATCTTCAAACACCGAATGAGGTATCCTGTGTCAGAGGTATTAGATATGCCCCAATGACTGGAAGCACAACAGGTAGATGTGATCTCGACATAGGGATGAAAGTTCTAATACCTCAGGATGCCAAGAAAATGGAAAAGCGTGAGTTTATCATTGTGACTCCTAATTCATGTCAAGTACACAATATACTATTGAATTAAATCAGAAAAGAGAGAAGAAATCGGGACAAGCAAGTGGAAACTAGAAAATGAATAGGTGAAGAGCTGTCAACCACAGGCAGTGAGCTGGAGTAAAAGCTTCCCACCCATAAGTCTCTGTGATTCTACATTCAAATGTCACTTCAAAGAGTTGATAACACTTTAGCCACTTGATGCTAAGGATATGGGTTGAATTAAAATAGTATTGGGTCACAGACAAAGTGACACCTGAATTCTGCCCTCCTCTCAAGTTTCCCAAAGGAAAAGCATAAACTGAGCAAAATGAAGATTCTAACGTATTCTAAGGCTTTGGCCCCAAACCTCGGGGTAAAATTCTATCAAGTATAACTTCATCTTATAGAATACTCTCTTTTCTTAAGCAGGGGTTATCTCATAGCCTCATGCCAAAGCGCTCTAAAGACCTCACCCTCAAAACAAAAGGCCAGAGGAACCCAGGTCCCAGAGGGAATTGACACAGACCACCACTCCAGACCTTTCCACACCCAGGGCAAGCCAGTTTGGACTGTTTGTCCTTCTGGGGTGTCTGTTGACTGTCGCCATAGAAGTTATCTTCACCCTTCTGCATAATTCTAGTTTTCATTTCCCGACCTTCACGTTATCACCTTTCTTGTTTGATTTGCTCATTTAGTTGGATCACATTCTTTAACAGCTTTCTAAGAAAAGGCAATAGAGGTCAACTTTAAAACTTGCCTGGCTAAAATAGCTTTAGTCTTTCCTTCTCCTTAACTGACATTTTACTGAGTAGAGGATTCTAAGATGGAAATATTTTTCTCAGAATGTGAAAGCATTGCTCCATTGTCTACTACTTTCCTGTATTGCTCTTGAGAAGCCTGAAGACATTCTAATTACTGGTCCATTGTACATGGTCTGTTTCTCCTCTGTGCTTAGGTGTGATATTTCTTATTCCTAGCATTGGATCTCTTCTCAGTGGGTCCTTTCAATCTGGAAATTCATGCCTTTCTATTCTAAAATCTTTTTTTTATATTGTTTCTGTCAGCACCCTGTTCTCTCTTCCCTCACACACGCTGGGTAGGGCAACCTCAGAGGTGGCGGGTAAAACAGTAAGCAGCAGGCTTGCATGCCTTGCATACTGAACCCTGCTCGGGGCATCATGGGAGGGAGCACCAGCCTCAGTTTCAGGGAATCAGGGCCTTCCTTTCCAAAGCATTGGCTGAGTAAAAAAAAAAACAAAAAAAAAACAAAAATAAAACAACAACAACCAAAAAAAAAAAAACGGGCTAATTCCCTAACTGCAAAACTATCCAAAGCCAGTAGGAAAGCAACAACTCTGCAGTGCTCAAAATCACCCTCTCATCTCAGAGCCTATCTGACTAGAGCAACCTGAATTTACCAATATATTTTTTTCTGGCAACATTGATACTTGTCCTCCACATCCTGCTCCCTGTAAGGTAGAATTTCTCCCACCCAAATTCTGTTATAAATGATTCCCTCTCCTCTATTTTCTCTGTTATTTCTTTCTGAAACTTGTATCAGCTGGACATTAGACTTCATGGACTGTCTAATTTTATCATTTTTCTCCTTTCTCACTGTGGTTTTGTTTTTTTTTAATATTCTGTCTAGGAGATCTCTGAAACTTTGTCTATGAATATTTCTATGAATTTTTTAAATTCCTGATATCATATTATTAATCTCCAATAACTCTTTTCTTATTCTCTGGCTTTTTCTTTTACATAGCAGCCTCTTTTTTTCTAGGAAAATCAATGCTTCATCTATTTAATTGTAGTGGTGTTCTACATGGTCTTCTGTTTCCCACAATGTTATCTTTGTACCTTAATTTTTCCTGTGGTTTTTACTTGCTTTTGTTTTTAATTTTTTATTTTGTTTTTGTCTCTTATTCACATTAAAAATATCCCTCAATGTCCTGGTGGCTTTTGACTGTTTATAATCCACTCAGAAGTTAGTTGGAAACATGACATGGAAGGGCAAAGCTTAGCAACTGAAGAGTAACAAGGATCCCACTGGCTTTTTCTTTACCGAAGAGTGAGGAGAGTGCTTTTCTTCATTGCTCATTGCACATATGAACTGCTGCCCCAAAGATGACTTTTTTCTCTGTGCTTCCATGAATTGGCTGAAACTCTGTACTCTCTATCTCCACTGTGGTGAGAGTAGCTGTCTAAGCCCCTCTGGCATGGTCAGGCACAAGACAGCTGCCAGTTTATATGCACCATGAAAAAGATGCATGTTCCATAAGCTTCCCCAGGACTGACCACTTCTGTGTGGAAAAGTGATTCAGGTTCTTTATACACCTAACACTTTCTCCTTACCTCTCAAACTTCAGACTGTTGAACTACTCCATACATGGTAAATGCCATCAGAAGAGCTGAGCACCAGCCACAAAGCAGCACAACCATATTTCTGTTCCTCATGAGAACCCCACCACCACCACCACCAATGAGCATATTCAGAGAAGGATTTTGTCTGATGTCAAAGCCTAGGTTCTTGCCATGGCTGGCCCTCACCTTATCCTGCGGAATTTACTTTTGTCCTGCAAATAGAATGTGGTTCCCAGGGAGATAGGGCGCCAGCATTCCATGTGGAACTGCCAAGCAGGGTGGTAAAAGCACAGAAAGGACAACCCCAAAAGATGCTGCTTCTCCTGCTCAGCTATCTTCTGCCTGCCGCTGACACCAACGGAAAGAACTGCCTCCACTGCTGGCCAGAACTGCCTGCATTGATAGACTATGACCTCCAGATTCTTTGGGGCACCCCAGGGCCACCTTCAGAGCTCTCCCAAAGCCTCCACTCCCTATTCCTGGAGACTCGTGTCTTACTGGATCCCTGGTACCTTGGTAAGGTGCAATCTCGAGATCAGGAATCAAGGCTGGCCCCCTTACCTGGCCTGAGATCTTACTCCCCTGACTTGCCTTCCTTTCATATCCCATTCTCAGATCAGGACCATTTGGAGGAAGAATTAGCCAAATTATTCAATCACATAGATCAAGCCATTAAGACGTTTAGAAACGGTAAGGAAGCCGAGTGTCTCAGGGCCCCTAGGTTTGGGTTAACAAAGCCTGGCTCTCGAAAGCATTCCCAGAGGACTCACTTGACCTGGGGTGGACAGGTGCTGTGAATGGTAGAGCAGTCACAGCATCTTTCTGTGTGCTGCTCCATGAAGTTTATGTTTGAAAAAAAACTGGTTTGCATTCCCAACCTTGAGAAAGTTATGTAATTCATTTGACCTGTGAGACATAGGTGACCAAAGTATCCTTTCTCTTCTATTCCATCCAGATAAACCATTACTTCTGGAAGAGGTTCACATCCAGAAGAAGCTATTTTCTGAGAGGCTAAGTGAGCTACCTGAGAAGCTGAAGAATAAGGGTGAGAGGTGGGGCTGCCCCTGCCCACACTCAGCCCTTCACCTCCTTCAAGACCTAAGGAGGAGAGCAGAGTCCAGTTGGAAGCCCCTCCCAGACCCTGCTCTGGAGCCCCCATCCCTGCCCATGTACTGCATACCTATCCACACCTCCCAGCTTCATTTCCTGCTCATTCCCCTACCCCTTCTGGCTCTGTCTGCCTCCCCAGCACCTCAGTTTCTCTACCATCTCATCCACCTGGGCAGCCTGCAACAACTCCTGTGGTGAGTATCTTTGGGGACTGGGACTGGGCAAGGGGTGAGGGGCACCTGGCCCTTTCTAAGGTTCCTGCCTATCCCCTCTTGCAGACCTACCCTCCTCACTGGAGGTCATCAACTGTGCCAACTGCAAGAGACACATCCTAACCTGCAAAGACCCAACTATCTGCCCAGGTCAGTGGTCGGTGGCCCATCTGGCCTTTAGCTCCCCCACCTCCATTCTCAGGTTCATTGTGGATTGTCTCTTTCTGGATTGTCTCTCTCTTCTGTCCAGCCCTGAGCTCTTCTTGCTTTCCATCATCACTGGTGAAGGTAGCACCTCCTGATATTTCTCAATTCTACATGTCCAGCTTCAGAGCCATAGAACCACCAACCTCTAAGACATCTTTCTCGGGTCCTCAAAACCAGCATGCCTGGAGACATGCCCAAACCCATCTTCACTCCCCCAAATCTTCTCTTCCTTCAGGGCCCCTCTTAGCAAACGGCCCCACTCAAGATCTAACTTCCCAAACCAGGAACTGCACTCTCCCTTACTCAGTAAATGCAATCACCAAGTCATGTGAAATAATTCTTGAATGTGTTGCCATATTTTCATTCCAACATCCACCTTTTCTTCAGACATCCTCATCTCTCACCCACATTATGGCAACATCTACCTGGCCTCCCTCCCCCTCCTAGCCACATCTCACTCAGCAACCAAAAAACTTTTTCTCACAAAGAAAATCTGCCTATGACACTCCCTGTTTACAACCTTCAGGGGCTCCCAGTTGCCCTCAGATAAAGTGGACTCCCCATTGGAGGCCCTGCATGAGCAGTTCCCACTCACCTCCCAAACCCCTGACACCTCGGCCACACTGGACGGCTTCATGCTTCTGTCTTTGAACATCCTGTATCCTTTGCCTGGAACACAGTTTTGCCCCTTGACTATCTGAACTAAATTCCTACTTGTCTTTCAAAGTCCAGCCAGAAGTCCTAACCAGTTCCCATCCCCACCCTGAGGCTTATAGCCCTCCTCCAGATTAGTCTTCCTCTGCCCTGTTTTGTCCTGCTTCTCTTGAACACCACACCATAATTCTTTGTCTGCCTCCTAGAGGGCAGGGACCATGTCTCATTCATCTCTGTACGCTAGGCACACAATAGGGATTCAGTAAGTG